CGTTACTCAACGACGAACTCAAGTGCGTAATCATTTGATACGCCCTCATTACGATGTCAGCATCTCAAGACCGTTGCTAATTAATAAACACATAAAAACTGTATCTCAAGACGCTGTACTTAGGAATACCATTCTGTGACTTGAGTGCTCGATCTTGTAAATGATTATGTCTTGTAAATGAGTATATTTATACACATACATTCTTGATGAATGATATTCTAAACCGAAGTTTAGAATATCATTCATCGAGTTTCGGTTTTGCTATATCGTGAGATTTATTGAATACTTTTATTTTGATAAAACTTAAATAAATAGATCTGTATCACGGTATATAGTTGTTTTCTACTTTCGAAAACTTAAATTATTAAAACAATTAGGTATGTATTTCTAAATACAAACTAAATGTTTAATTCAATATGTACAAATAACCTAACGCATTAAGCGACGACAGCGCCAGTGTCAAATATAAAACTGACGTATCATTTTTGACATTGAAAATCATCTTGATTACTTAACTTTGATTTCGCGGGAAATTCAATTTATACAAAAATGGAAAGCAAGAAGCATGTATTTACTCCGATTGCTTTCCCGGTGTTATAAAAATATAAGGCTATGGTGAAAAATAAGGAGACCGATGCCACGTCTCTGTGTATTAAAAATGAGGCTTGGAACAAAATAACTGTAGAAGCTAGTCCATACCCATCTCCAGCCAGGTAGGTAACTAATTATAGTACTACAAATATCACTTTTTATGCATTATAACACCAGTAATCTTTACGTGGTAATCTTAATTTACGTGGTAGAGCCATGCTGCAGCTATATTAGTAACTAGCTGTGCCCGCGGCGTAGCTCGCGTATATAGGTTTTACTTAAAGAATTTGACGTTTAGGTAAGAGAATATTAAAAGATTTATATCATTACTGTATGAATAAGTGGCACCAAAATAAATCGTTATGCTCAAAGTTCTGAGTCGTTTGTGATAGAACTTCTGTGTAAACGACGTTAGAAGTAGACAGCCGGGGCGTACAGAAAAATGTTACGGGAGCTACTAACGCGGGAAAAAGCAACATAGAGTTGGCCATGTGCAAAACAGTCAGTACTGAGGTCCACTCCTGCAACGCGTAAAGTTTGACCTTGCGCTTTATTTACGGTCATCGGTCATCGCATAGCACACGCTGACTGGGAATGGGAAGTGGGAACAGAACACGCTTAGAACTGAAAGGAAAGTTATTTGATATAAGTTGGATTCTTGGTATAAAACAACATCATGACATTTTGTTATTGTTGCAATTTTGCTACATTTAGCTTGGGCGTACGTATCTTTTTTCTGATATCTGTTTTTGATGATGTTTGTGCTGTTAGCTTACACCCTACACGGCTCTTTCAGCTTGAATGGACTCGTTAACGTACAACGCCATCTATTACGTTCTTCGTGGAAGACATCCTTTAATAATTTAAAAAAGCCTTTAAACAAATTGAACCTACATTTCAAAATAATAATCAAAACTTTCGATAGAATTAACCAATTTTAATAAAACAAAGATTAAATAAACTGGAAGATACGCTTTATGATTTTCTAAACAATTTCTTTGAAAAAAAGATGTTTACTTAAGACGTGATGCGTTCATAAACAAACAGACAGACAGACAATTCTAAAAATTATAAAAATGTACTTATTTAATGAGTTTCAGTCTCCATAATGATTTTAGTCACAAATTAATATACTATACAATGTACAGAATCAGACACAGCATGTTGTGATTACCGCATGTATAGAGATATAAGGATAGATGGCGCTGTTAAAATCAATTCTAAAAATAAAAGAGATTAATTGACGCGATTGATACAATAAAAAAACTTAAAAGAACTTATAAATCAGGCCTACATCGTAAGCAAGAAAGAAAGTTTGTTCCTCGCCGAAACCAACGAAATTGTTAATAGCTCTTTTAAAATTCGATTTACCATGTAGAGTACTCGGCGGTAAAGGATAAATGACATTGTCAATACACAGTAGGGCAGCGAGTAATTTAAAGATTAACAGCAAATATGAAAAGTAATTTACAGAAAAAAACTACAACCTGCCTTCTTGCATGACATTTGTGCAACACCACCATCTATCGATGAAATGGGTTAACTATTGTACTTTCGATTTAGATAATAAGGTTAATATATTTTTTAATATATTTATTACGTTCTTTATGCAATACTTTTGTTTACTGCGTTTTAGATATAATTACATCATTATAGAACATTATTTTACATCATTTAATTATGTTATGATTTATAATATGATATTAGTTTAAAATGTACTTGATGACTCAACAAACGCCACCATTGAACAAATTCGTACCTATACTTTGTAGCCATACTTCAGAATATTTATCATAACTTTTGATGGAATGAACTAATTTTAATGAAATAAAGACTAAATGTAACCTGAAGATACACTTTATAAATTCTTTAACGATTCTTCTGATATAAATTGGTACTTTATACGTGATACGTTAACAAACAAACAGACAGACAGACAGAAAATTCTAAAAATGGTAGAAATGTATTTAATTACTTATTTTTAGTACCACTCAATCACTTTTATTATATAAATCTAAAATGTACAGACATCGGCTATTTACATTTTTATTATATGTATAGATATAGTTGTAGCACGAATGGGTCGGCTCGACCAGGGAATGACCACGCTCTCATATTTTTTTTAATAGGATAGGGTGACAAAAGAGCACACAGTCCACCTGATGGTAAGTGGTTGCTGTGGCCCATAGACATCTACATCTATCTTCGATTAAGAATCAAAATTTAGATGCGTTGTCACTCGTTAGGACTAAGATGGAATGCCTCTTTTCCAGTAAAAAGGTCTCCGATTCTCTACACTCACCATACGAAACACAGCAGTGTTAAGCTGCTATTTACGCTGATTTTCTGTGAGAGCGTGGTCCTTCCCCGGTCGAGCCGACTCATTTGTGCTACAACTATACTACTAAAATTCCTGCAGCATGGCTCTACCACGTATAAAATAACGTTTATATGTGGTTTGGGTTGTAAGTTTGTTTGAAAATTCAATTGTATAAAAGCTAGAGGTTAGTACTAGGTGGATTGACGATGGCAATACCAGACGTCTCGCACGTTTCACGAGATAATTAAACGACATTTCCCAAGGACTTCCATGTATACCAATAGATCGGAAATTCAGAACAAAAACTGTGTCACAGCTGTGTATCGCGCGGGTGCCGGCTGCGCGGGTAGTTGGTACGGTATATATGCTACGCAGTTGTATGTTTTTGAGCAAAAAGTCCACCTGATGGATGCTGTAGTCCATGGACTTTTACATCTACCCTAAATTAAACTAAAGTTATTGCGTATTATCAAACCTGAGGTCTGAGATAAAATGCATCGTTACCACTACGCTGGTATTCTGTTTGAGAGTTGTCCCTAGTCGAGCCAACCAACCCATGGTGCAGCCATCACACACTGCAGCTTGCCTCTACTGCTTATAGAAGTAAATTAAAATTTATCATTGTTGTATATCATTCATTTTGCTCAGTTTTAAAAGAGTAATAGAGCTTTATTAGACTGTTTCTGTAAATAAAGCGACATTCACATTCAAACACCTTCAATGTATTTTATTACTATTCGCATGTAAATTTTTATATAAAATTGTAGCAACATACGAACGTACAATATAATTTATAGAAAGTGACTCCTGCAGTCTATGGACATTTCCACCAACTTCAGATAAAGAAGGCTACAGGTGCTTTGTCTCCTCAGAGATGAGAGAGATGGAATACCTCACAGCTCACATTTATAAGTATCTTCAATAGATGACGTCCACCCCTGCATCTATTTTTGCCAGTAAACCACATTACATTCTATGCTGAAGTTTTTTTTTAAACTTACTGCTCTTATACATATAGCATACTACTAGCAGTATTTTCATACTGCTTATATTCTCATTTACTGCTTCTAAAAAACTAAAATACTTGTGCTAAAAGTAGTTTACAACTTTCGAGTTTCGCAGTCGTTACCTATAATTACAGAAAAGTAAGGAGTGTAATTACAGATTACGAGGCATTTAATCTACGTCTTCAGAGGTAAAAAGCACCCTTTAGTCTTTGTGTGAAGTAGGCCATGGGTTGCATTAGCCACTTGCCACCAAATATTGGTTCAAACTCAAATATATTATATTTCAAATATCGGAATCATAGTAGATCCCGCAATGTCAGCCAGAAGTATAACATCTAATTAGTCATATTTTTATTTATTTAACACACCAACGTTTGATCAATATAATATCAAGTTATTACTTTGATAATACATATCGAGTGGTGAAAGAAAAATGATTTAAGCGACATCCTAAACAGATTTGTAATCAGCAAGCTTTTCTGCGTCGATTAAGGCGGATCCCGTTAAATGGCTTTTTGACTTTTTGACGCTTAAATCAGTTAGCATTTCATGCAAACTAACTACTGAACTGAACTAAGGGCTATTAGAACCAACCAAATTTCAGTGAAACTTGAAGTCTTTTGAAACACTCTTTCTCGTAAAGTTGCATTGTGTTCCTTAAAATTTTACTTTACATAAAAAACATTAAATGTGTCACCTAAAACATTTATTCTGCATCGAAAACAATTAAGGCATAACGTTTAAGCAATTTATGGTTTTTAATAAAAAAAAAATCTAAAACTGTGATCTTTATATTGCTCTTCTGCGAGCTTGTAAAAATCTCATTTAAATCATTTTGCCTGTCACCTGGTAATATTTATTTAAAGAACCGATGAAATAAAATATTTCATTTCCCTTTGTCAAAAGCCGCATAAAGATACCAAACTAATTTTACGACGTGGTGCGTAGCCGCTACACATCCGTAGTTGGCTCTACGCTCAACGCGTCGACGGCTACGAAAAACGCTTTAGAGCGAGCGCAGTGCCGCATTCGGGGACGCGGGGCGGGCAGTCCGCTGCGGGCGGCGAGCGGGCACGTCAGTCATGTCTCGAGCCGCGCACGTGTTTGTACTCGTGACCGTCATAACACTACTCGCCGCGCTCGTCGGTGAGTTCCATTTTCAAATTTAATATTTTTTTTAATTGATAAGGAACTTTTTAGTGAATAATTATTTTTAATATAAAACAAGCTTACTTTGGGAATATTATGAGGTATAAATTATACACAAAGTTCGAATGTTATGATTGTTTACAACAATGTTAGGTTGTAAACAAAGGTTATTTTACATTAACCATTTATGTAATCTGTACTTACATACTCCTAGTAATTGGCTTTATTATAAACTCATTAAGTTAATTCCATTAAAGTTTCGAAAGTTCACAGTTAAATTACAAGGTTATATTCAAATTCGATAAATAAACCTTTTTTAAGTAAATTTTCTATGTAACGAAACATATTTTTAAAGTAATTTTATCTATGTTATAAACCTTAAATGAGAAGTTCAAATTCAAAGTGGAATCTAGGATCAAGACTTCATTTAATAATTTTTTATCGAATAAATTTCAGCCCCCATATCGTCCTGTGGGTTAATATGGGGCGGCAGAGGGAAAAAACTAGGATAAAGGCAGCAATGTCTTTCAAATAACAGCTAGAAAATAAAAAAAATGTGTTTGCTAACCCTAAGCTAAAATAGACCAAACATAGGGGATACTTGAGACAGCCTATGGGAAGGCCTATAATGTTTAGTTGAGTGATATAAAAAATTCAGCAATATTTTTTTTAAATTTAAGTCATAATTTAAGTTACAGCCTATATTGTACGTCCCACTTCTCGACACAGACCTTTTCTCATTTCTGAGAGGGATTTAGGGCAAAGAAATATTTCCCGCACCGCCCTAATACGTGTTTACGAACTTCACATGTCTTTGAAATATATATGTTCTTTTTTTGATTTCTCAGACATGCAGATTTCCTCACAATGTCTTTCTTCGCCGATATTTTAAGTGATAGTTATGGCTTTAATAGTTTGTCGTCCATTCATGCATCTATCCATTACAAATACTATAATGGATATATGTCCACTGCTAAACACAGGTCTAACCGATAGAATGGATAAAAGAGGGGATTTTGCCATAGTTGCCACGCTTGTCAGGAGGGTTGGCAACCGCGATTTTTATTTTAAATTTTAGTTTGTTATCGGGAAGATATTGCTGCACATTTCCTGTTTCACGCGTTTCCCCTATCGCATCCTACGACACTCATGGGGCAATATGGGATAGTGTATATTCTTACAACACCACCCGTTTCTAAAACCTACTCCATGTAGGCACGAGCCTTCTAATAATTATTTCTATAAATAACCATAGACAAATTGTTATGTTCATATAACATCATTGAGTATAATATCTGATGAAACAGTAAAAGCCAACTAGCTAATAATATTGACATCACAGAAAATAGACCCTTAGCTATAATTAGAGATGACAATGCACAGTCAGCTGCAGATCCATCCTTGTTTGGCGTTAGCTGCAAGTATCCTAATGCCGCAGACTTACCGCCAGGTGGACTACAAGTTAGCTGTGACTCTAATGTTGTACAAGAATCGAACAACTGCAAGGGGGGTAGAGCCACACTGCAGGTAAATTATGGCTGTAACACCAATGGGTCGGCTCAACCGGGGAAGGACCACGCTCTCACAGAATACCAACGTAAAATAGCAGCTTCACGCTGCTGTGTTTCGTATCGTGTGTGTAGAGAACCACCCCTTTTACTGGAAACAAGGCATCTTAGTCCTCAGGGGTGAAAATAAACCTGCATTTTGGTTCATAATAAATAAATATAGATATCTATACACCACAGCGTCCACTTACCATGAGGTGGACTGTGTGCTCGTTTGTCACCCTTATTGTATAAGTATCGGCGTAGAAATAGTACAATTATAAATTCATAGTTTTTTACAAAGTCATTATAACGATAAGTTTGTCAATAAAATAATATTAGTTCATTTTTTTTTCATTTTTTTAAAAACGTTACCCCCACACTAGGATTTTCTCCTGTATCGTGGAGGCAGCTTACAAACACAAATTGCACAAGGACAAACATCCAGACCCGGAACAATTATTTGTAGGTCATACAAATACTTATTTCGTGCGGGATTCGAACCCGCGGCCCCCACCGCAGCAACTCATTGCTAAGCCACTGCGCCATGGAACCGTCAAAATAGTTTAATCTTACAATAACAATTACAGCACCTATGAACAAATTATGAAGTTTAACTTATTAATACAATTTCAATTATTCTGAATTATAATTACATACATTTTAAATTATAACATTTACATTTTTGATATTAACAGGTCATTTTTTTATTAATTAGTATCTATGTCTATCTCTATTGTGGCTTGTTCAAAGCAGAGAATATGTCCAATAAAGGAAAGATTTAGAAAAAATATATATACTTAATAGAATCAACATACATATTGTGTCACTTTGTACCTAATTTATTTTATACTACAGAAAATCTTTTACGGAGTAAAAACATCGGTAAAGGAGCCACTGGGTTAAAGTTCTTTTGAACTTGTTAATATTTAATAATTTTATATTTTCTGGCATCTACATCTATCCTCGGTTAAGATCATCGTAGCTCAATCTAAATGCAGATGCGTTGTGAGCAGGACAAAGATGTTCTTTTCGCTCACCATACAAAACAACAACAGTAAGCTGCTATTGCACGCTTGTATTCTATGAGAGCTTGACTCTTTCCTGGTCAAGCTGAACTTTGGCTGCTACAACCATAATAACGATGCAGCAGAAAGTTCATCAATTCCCATTCAGCAATTGAAAGACCCGGCGTATCAGCTCGGCTGAATTTCAGGCTTCGCATGCGTGTAATGCGTGTCGTTTCTTGGTTTCTGGAAGGCATAGCATGAGATTATTATTGTTTGTACGCGTCTGTCTTCAATAACCACTACAACTGGACCTCTTCAAAAACGTGATAAGGCATTTTTTACTCTCTCTAGGACCCATATTGATCATATGTTTAAATGTAATCCAGCTTAACAGCATAACTCAGGAGAAATCTTGATTAAACGTTGATATTTTAATATTTTTGCTCGATAGCCTTCTCAGAAATAAGAGGACTGCTGGATCCAGCTGTGGCACTAGTATATAGACTGTAACTCTAATTAATGTTAATAAACCTAGCGAGCTAACAGCAGAGCAAAGTGACGAAACAATCAGCTTTGTAGCGGTTTCTAACGGTTGCCGTTGAGCAATCAGTTTCAAAATAGGAGGTTCAGATGCATGGGTGATCAGTAATCGATTGCTGAAAACAGAATTTGAAAATTCGAAACCATTCTCGAGATAATCGTGGGACAGACGTACAGACGGACAGAAGGACAGACGGTCAGACATCGTGAAATCAATAAGTGACTTCGCAAGCTTCGCCACTTAATAATTCTATATTAATTCTAATAAAAGAATTATAAACCCTGTCGAGAATTGTTCAAGAGGACCCTTTAATTAATAACGTTAAATTCAAAGCAAAACCTACCAATATAAGACCAAGCGATACTATCAATCTCTTTTTATGTAAATGTTACAAAAATAAATAATGAAAAGGTTTATGTAGCTCGTACGTATGACATCGATCGGACGTCAAACAGCTAAATCCCTCCCTCATCTAACATTTATGTACGGGACATTAAATGAACATAACTTTTAAGTACATTTTAGGATTAATTCACTTATATCTTTCTTTACTTAACGGCCTTCACCAAATCTGTCTCTTAGATAGATAATCTAAGGCTAAAATAATTTTCAACCGACTTGAAAACAAGGAGGATTCTCATCACCTCAATTCGATTGTATTTTTTGCGTGTTACCTCAGAACATTTTTCTAGGTGAACCGATTTTCATGTGGTTTCATATAAGTTTGATCAAGATCTGACCAGTAGTTTTTGAGTTATCCTCAATAATGCGTATTGAATTGACTTCGACTACACTGATGATTTTTTTTTTATAGTAGAGGGGGCAAACGAGCATGCGGCTCACCTGATGGTAAGTGACTACCGCCGCCCATGAACAATTGCAACACCAGGGAGGGAATTACAGATGCGTTGCCGGCCTTTTAAAAAGGAGTACGCTCTTTTCTTGAAGGTCCCTAAGTCGTATCGGTCCGGAAAAATCGCTGATGGTAATCGATTCCACAAGGAAGTCGTGCGAGGAAGAAAACATCTTCTAAATCGCACAGTAGTAGACCGCCAATCATCCAGATGGTGTGGATGGTATCGGGAGTTCTGCCGCGATGTGCGTTCGTGAAATTTGGCGGCTGGGATTAATCCGAACAATTCCTCAGATGTTCCCCTTTTATTTATATTGAAGTCGGTTGTACGAAATATTAAATTTTACCACTTGTTTGATTTTGTTACTAAATTTCAATTTTCTCAAATCATGTCAACTCTGAGTATACATAATGTAAGCACCCATTGTTTAAAATAAAAAATAATATTTGTGGTAAAATAATTTGCATTTATATGCAAAAAGTAATTGTGCGTGTAATTGTGTGTACAAGTCCGAAGTGAAACTTCTTTACGAAATATCGTTTTTATTTTATTTTATATGTATAGATAATTGTCATTGCTCATGGGGGATATATTGCCATAGTTGCCACGCTTGGCGAGCGGGTTAGCAACCGCAGTTTTTTTATTGTTGATTTGCTGCTATCAGAAAGATGCTGCTGCCCATCCTCTGCTTCAGTTTCCCTCTGTCGCCTCTTACGACACCCATGGGAAGATATGGGGTAGTGAGTATTCTACGTGGTCCTTCACTGGTGGCCGGATGAGGAAGCTCAAGTTCGCACAGCGAGCTATGGAGAGGGCTATGCTAAGAGTTTCTCTGCGTGATAAACTTAGAAATTAGGATATCCGCAGTAGAACCAGAGTGAACGACATAGCCCAATGGATTAGTAAGCTGAAGTGGCAATGGACCGGCCATATAGCCCGAAGAACCGACAACCGATGGGGAAAAAAGGTTCTCGAGTGGCGGCCTCGTACCGGCGGACGAAGTGTAGGGCGTCCCCCCACTAGATGGAGTGACGACCTGGTAAGA